GAGAAAAGAAGGCCCCTTTGGCGACGTAGAGATAAGCGGTGTGGGTTCATCCCTCCTCTCTTCCTCCTTGTCCTTGGGAGAATAGGCTGCCCCGAAGGGGTTGTGCATATCGAGCTTCGACATAGGTGAGGTGGCTTTGGGGCTTGGCTGCGACTTCATGGAGGATTGTGAAGGAGGAGTAGAACCTGAAGAGAATTTGGAACTTATACTGGAAATCCATGAATTCCTTCTCCCTGTGATCGAGCGTGGTGTGCTCTTCTGGGGTGTCTGAGACTGTTCAACTGCCTTGGTCTCCACCGCTTTGTCTTCTTTGTCAATTCCATTCTCTATCGCAGCTCGGCTTCCGACGTTCTGGGCATCTTTTGGGGTCTTGGATGCGGGAGGGATGGGTTCTTGCGGGCGTGGGGAGGTATTTGTATTAGAGGAAGTAGTGCGGTCTACTCTGCATGGCTGCGAGGCGGCAGACTCTGTATCAACGCTCGATTTATCACTGACTTGGGAAGAGGCCGATTTGCAGCGGGAGAGGTGGTCTGATGAAGCGTAGTGAGCGACTGCTGGCATTCAGAATCCAGACAAGTGTTCCGGCCCGACGCAGAATCTAGATCCTTGAGAGAATGTGTCGGGCGGGGTCAAAACGCACCTTTCTGCGAATGATGGAGCCAGCTCACATCCACCGTCTCAACCGCTTCCATTTTGACGTCTGTAGCTCGCTGCGAAGCCGAATAGATGTTGATCGTTCAAAGAGATGGTGTAGCCATAAATCGTCGGAAGGTGGGGGGAAGATTAGTATTGTCAGGCGACAGCGTGCATGGTCCGCTCTGTCGGATTGGATGTAGTGTAATAAAGAAAGACAGTATTAGTTAATTATGAGGAGACTTCGCTTGATGTTCGCGATTCGAGAAGTCGATTGAGAGTGACTGGGGATGCAGAGATCACTTTGCGCGTTTATAACTTAAAAGCGGCGACGGTATGAGTATTCCATCATCGAACAACAGCGCAACATGGGCATGGTGACAGGTAGAGGTATAGGTATGAAAATCCAGTCTTGGAGATGCAGGACGGTGAACAGCTGAAAAGGAGCAGCAATATCAGGGGGAAAAAGATAAGTGAGGGGTGTTGAGGATTTAAGACGAAAGGGAAAAATTAAGCCATACTACTGACAAGGAGTAGGAGGTGATGGCGATCGGGACGGATGAGCAGGCTAGACTAGGGTAGTTCGCTGGTAAGTTGCTAGCCAGAAGAGACCCAGAACAAATGGTCTTCTGGCTGACCCAACACCGGTGGAGTGGTGTGGGGGGGACGATCCCTGGGGAGCAGAAATGCTGAGATCAGGACTCGTACTAGTAGTCAAGTAGTACTACTAGTACTTACTCTGTAGATAGGTAGTGTGTAGTTAGTAAGGAGTGAGTGAGAATGATAAGGAATAAAGATGCTGGAGATACGGAATGTGTCTATCTAACTCTGGGTAAAAGTAAGCCAGGTACTAGATATGTAGCTATCGTCTGCCTTACAGTTACAGGTCCTGCTGTAGACAGACTGGTTGGTGAGCATCCCCTCCATACAGTGCTGAACACATCACGATTATTGTTCTCAGTGGCTTGATGTCCTCCACCTCGACTTCAACAAGGAGACGCTGTACTACTGTACCTATCACTTATGTACTAACTGTCACATACACCAAGTAACTAAGGTACATGGACCTCACTGCCTTGTCATACCAGAAATATCTATGGAGTACTCGTCTACTCATTGTTCAATTTAGCTTGGGAAACAAACCCTTACCTGGTGTCTGCTCCCGTCCTCGATGAGTCGGTGCAACCTGTCCTACTAGGCTACTGTACGTCCCGGCCTAAAGCTCGCCACCTGATAGCCATAAGTCAATCCGCTGATTCCGCTCGAGGGCTCTGAATAAGGTATCCATCAGAAAGGCTATCCCACACGAACGAGCCGCCAAGACCACAGAACCATTATGTTGGAAATTGGTAATCGTCAGGTAATTATGACTTGCGCGATACCAGTGGACGATACCACCGTAAGTATGAGGCTGGAATTTGTCCCAGCAAGCACGTGACGTAGCTTTGTGCTAATAAAGTGGAAACCATCGTCATTCATCGAAGCATACGAAGGATAGAGTGGTTGTCAGTATCGATTCATTCACAACCCAGGGTCGAGTCACCATTGCGGGAAATGGCCATTCTTGATGTTCTGCAAGCATGGTGTGAGGTTGAAGAGCGAATCGACCTCCAGTGTCAGTACATAGCGCCCAGAGGCTGGAGAATGGAGAGACGGATCAGTCGCGTGATCATGCCCTGAGTGGCAATAATTACTCCGTAGTACTCCGTAGCAGCGACCAAGTAAGTCATGGACGAAGTACTCCAGACCGCCTGAATTTTTACACCACGATCCAATTCGATCACCGGCAAACATGCTGAGAGGTACATACCTAGGTAGTAGTGCGGGAGGAACTTACCGGTGCAATCAAAGGCCTATCAACATATAGTCTCTTGTTTTGGATCGTATCCCTTCATTTCGTCCTTTACTAGAGTGGCAACTGGCAAGACTACCCATCCATTCGACCTTATGTAAAATGGCAAGTCTTGAGTTTCAGTGCCATGAGCCATGCTTCAAGAGGTACATTCTAGTCTGGAAATCCTTGACCTCATGGTTATCGGGATACTCGAAAATAGGAGCAGTATTGAGAAGTCTGTGTTCAGGAGTAAACCAAAAGCCTGTTCATACTTGGGAAGAGCCAGCCGGCTTTCCAAGATATATATCTCTCGAGCGATTGAGTACGATTGTCGAATCTGGACATGATTTTCAGTAACATGAGTGTGTCCTTCCTTACACACTGAGTATTCACTCGAATCCTCCACGGACTCTCATACTTAATAATGCCCGTTAGGGAAATACGCTGCGAGTCTCCGACATGGCCAGATTAGGGTAAGTAGGAGTCCCAACTTAAAACCTAAGGCATGCTTCATCGCTTAGCTCGCCAATAGACTCCTTCTCATCTGATCCACAATAACCCACTCACGAGTCCCACAATGTTCATGCATGGATACATACAGAGCAGACAGGTTTGGGCTTCAGTAGACAGATATTTACTTGCATCAGAGGTCATACAAGCCTACCAAATTCAAAAATTCTAAGCGCATAGCTTTCGATTTGGATCTTACTAACCGGCAGCGCTTTACGGCTGATACACCTTTCGGGCTGGCTAACGGAATAGAAACCCTGGCATGTCGACACATTACCGGAGCAATTAGAATGGCTCAAACGATTGATTCCCTTGAAAAGAAAACCCTGCTAATTGCTCCGAAAACCAAAGGATATCCCAGACGTAAAACATGCGGTCGTAAAGGTCCCATCAATTTACACTCGAAGAAAAACGCCGATTTGGCAGAACATAATCCCGCTTGAAAATTGCTTTTTTTTTGTGTTGAACTATCGCGCTCGGTGATACTTCAGACACGACCCAGTTGCCATTTCACTGAAACGCATTTAAGCAGCGAGCTCACGGATCTTCTGCTCAACGCGGGCCTTCCTCTCCTCGCGGGACAGCTTGGTCTTTCTGTACTTCTTGCTCTCGGCCTTCCACTCCTCCTTGGACTTCTTGGGCTCCTCGTCCTCGTCCTTCTTGAAGGGGTCCTCACGGATGGCCTTGTGAGCCTCAGTGTAGATGTCCTCGAGGTCACCAGCGTCAATCTCGTTCTCGATGTACTTGGTGAACTGGCTGCGGTAGCGCTCCTCATCGTCGTCGGCGAGTGTCTCCATGTACTCAGAGACGTGGCCACCGAAGATGTAGTTGCGGAGGGTCTCAGCGTCGAGCTCCTCGGACTCGATGTCGAAACCGGGGAAGCGGTTCTCAGAGTGGGGGATGAAGATACCACCGTCGGAAGCACCCTTCATGGCACCGAAGACACGGGCACCAGTGGAGGTACGGACCAGACCAACATCGAGGAAGGCCTTGAAGGGACGGCGGGTGCCATCGTCGGTCTCGACGGCCTCGGTGAGCTTGTACTCACCATCGGCCTCCTCAACACCGGTGAACTGCTCGTCAAGGCCGAGCTTCTTGAGGGTACGGCGGGCAAGGAGCAGACCGGTGGCATAGGCGGCAGCCCAGTTGGTCAGACCCTGGGTGATACCATAGCGCTTGAGCTCGTGGGAGTAGGCGCTGGCGAACACCTTGTCACCGGAGATCTCAGAGTAGACGATCTGGGTGATGATGTCGCGGTTGGTGAAACGCACAACGAGACGGTACTTGGGAGCGTTGTACTTGTTCTTGGCCTGGGTGATCAGGCGCTTACGGGCATAGTAGTCGGTCTTGCCCTCTCTGCGACGGCGGTACTTAGTCTGGTAGCGACTGTGGTAGAGAATGTTAGTTCTGCTATTACCCAAATGATAAATTCAGACAGACTCACCTGTAGTACGCGCTGTTCTTGACGAGCTTGTGGAAAGGCTACAGAAGAAAACCCCCGAGTCAGCAATTTGCGCTTCAGAAACATTCAAACACAGGTGTCCGAAGCATCTTGCAAAGACCCGTTCCCAGTCCCACACAGCGACCAACGAGAAATAGAAGAAAAATTTTGCCGATCGCCGGGATGATTTGGTTGAAAGGTGAACAATGCAGCAGGTGCTATCATTCACCTGAAACAGCAATAGGACTCACCATCTTGACTGTTGCCGCGAATTGAAGACCGAGTTGTCGACGTTGGCTGCAGAGGAGGAGAGAAGAGGTTGGGAATTTCGTGGGCGGACTTTGTGGATGGTTTCGCTTAAGCGTGGCTGCATCCCAGCGCAAAACTGAGGTTGGCCACGAGCGGAGAACACCAAGACAGCAATAATCGCTCGACAGTTCGAACAACAATACTACGAATAATACTGCACTGTTCTAATGAATTCGGGACGTCATAAGGCGAATATGATTCAAAGTAGAATATTCTACAAAAAAGGACATCTATCGCATTGAACGCAGTATTTGCGTTGAAGTTTTCTTCAGCTTAAAGCTTGGCCTTGTCCCCAGCGTCTAGCAATTGCAGGCCAGTGATCTTCTCTAATTCTCTGATAGAATCTTGTGTCCGGCCAAGGTTGACCTTGATTGTTCGCAATCCAGCCTTCTTTGCGGCCTTCAAGTTCTCCCCAATGTCATCGAGGAAAACAACATCCGAAGGCTCAACCCCTTGCAAGCCTTTCTTTTTCGCCAATGTGTCCATTTCCTTCAGCGCAGCTGCGTAGATCTTGGGATCTGGCTTCCTGAGCCCTGTATGCGCTGATGAGATGAAGAAGTCGAACTGCGACTTCACGCCGTTTGAGTCGCTGTTATAAGGATGCCCATCAGGGAATATGACTGTATTTGACAGAGCGCCAATAATGAACTGCCCTGACGCTTTCAGCTTCTGCAGCGCTGGGTACATGTATGGGTCTGGTGTCCTCGACACTCGCATCATCTCCCAGAAGAGCCATTCTGCATCGATTTCTGGTAATGGAGGTGCCGATCTTGGCACACCGGATTGCAGTCTCTCATGGAACTGCTTCCATAAATCTGGGTCTCGTAGATCTCCGTTGAAAGCTTTGAAGAAGTCCGCATCCAGTTTGATCTCGCCTCGCTCAAGCTTGTGCCAGCTGCCGTTGGGCGATGTGCGCGAGATGCTGAAATTTACCCATCCTGTGGGGATGTTGTTTGCAAGCTCGTAGTCCAGAATGGCTTGAAATGGAGAAACGACCTAGGCTTTATCAGTAAAGTCTTTCAAAGATATGGTTGTTCGGCAGCCTTACACACACTCCTCCAATGTCGAAGAGTAAGCCCACTGGCTTTTTGTTTTCGGCCATGTTGTAGGCTAAGAAGGAAGAAACCTTGCGATAATTTCAATGGAGGATTCTATTAGACTTCAGTTAACCAAGTCCCTCTGCACCAGCTTGCTGGGCTGAGTCCGGTATTTGTTGTTGCGGAGTAGCAACCATGAGGTGGATTGCCGAGGTTAGATATAACTAGAGCGTAAGCCATCTAACGTGCTCACAGAGGCCGAGGAAGGGATTTGTCAACCATATATTTTGACCATTACTGCTTTCGCATAATGTCAAGTCGCAAAATGATCATGAAGACAATTGCAACCTAGGAAAGATCATTTGATCCAACAGCAAGAATGTATTGAAAATGTTCCTACCACGTGACCTGTTATCGATAGTGAGATTCGACGCGCGGAGCTGTCTGCGCGATCTCTTCGGGTGTCGAATTGAGCAATGACGCAGGTGTCGATATGGGGCAATGGATGCAAGTCGAACTGTCTTCGAACTGAAATCAGCATTTATCAGGGCGCAGGTGCGAGTTCTATCAGAAAGCCTTGAGCCGCCGGAGGATTGGAGAATTTACGCGACTGAGTCGGAGGAAGATGAGCTGAGTGATAAGGCGGTTCAGGATGCGCTGCAGAAATGTGAGTCTGTCCCAGGGTTGGTTCTTTGCTGCCTGCACTGCATGATGTTCTCGAGACGGAAATCGATGACAAGTCGTCTTCAATGTGTACTCAAGGATTTGACTTCTTTCTAGTAAACGGAGCCTTGAAACAGCACAATCTCATCATCTACTCTTCTCAAGCGATTCAACATGTCGCGCAACAAATCACAAGCCTTTACTGGTCCTCAGTTAGTCAGGCCACGCACAATGTTGGCTTTCCCGACAAGCGTTTGGAGACAACGGTAGATTTGTGCAGTCACTTGTGAGTTCCGCCATACGGACACCTTTCAGCCCACCTTGCTGACATACCGCAGCAATATTACTCAATTACCCCTGGAATTAGAGGACCAATCTGCAAGTGAGGAGGAGCGGTTAAGGTTTGAATCACACGTTGATGATTTTGATTTCATCTGGCTGATGTTCGTGGTACAGGTATCAGGACCTACGAGAACGGCTTATGCGTCTAGACACTCAGCGACAACAGCGACAGCGGCGCCTTGACCAGTTGAGGCGGTTACAGAAATTACTGGAACCTTTCACCGAGCCCCAGAACAATATCCAGCCCAACCTTGTCACGAAAGACGGAGAGCTCGTCCAAGAGTTGGAGAAAATGCGAATGCTTGTTGCGCGGGTCGGCGGCCGGATCGAGCAAAGTAAGGAGAGCAAGAACCCGGAGAGGAACGCACCTTATGCATTAGAAGCAGATGAGAAGCTGGCAGCGCTTCTCGACATGGCATGAGCAGACTTGAACTCAAACTAGGCAGATGTCTGATAGCTGTCGAATTACGACTGATGATAGGAAGACTCCAAGAAACCGGCCTAGACTGAGACTAGTATCTCTCTTATTCCGAAGTAAGGCATAAGACATCCAAAGCTTAGTACTCCGTAGCTTGTATAATACTCCTTGGTAGAAGATGACTTTGATGCGATTGCTCATTTTGTGTTATTGAAGGGTTGCAAGGGGGTTTGAAGGAAAAACCTGGGGGAGGTTGACTGCAGCGGCACAATAATTTCACATACAGCAGGTGCCAGCGACATACGGATGGAGAGAAAACCATAAAACGAATGGACTACTTTCCTGCTAGTCATCATTGTCATCTACTCCTACCTGTCGTGATTTATCTTTTCTCATCCCTCACTTAGTGTGACACACCATCCAGACACTTGTTTATTCCAGAGCTTTCATCATTAACCACTTTGTATCAACTGTCAACATCCATGGAAGGGATGGAGAGTGACGGCTCCAGTGCTCCAGTCATCATCGCCAGTGAAGAAAGTGGTCGGAGTTGTATCTCCGAAACTCCGGCGCTTGACTCTTTTGGTGATGGCGTCCCTCCAGCTTCCCCCAAGCTTGACTGCCCCCCTCCAGCATCTCCAACACAGCGAGAGCTCGAGCTGGATCCTTCACTTCCAGAGGCATCCCCAGAGGAGTTCTTTCCCCTCGTTTCATTGACCGATAGTCAGCTCTTCTGCGAGACCCGTCAATCCGGCACCATCGACGCGTCTACTTCCCCCGCGGATTCCAAGGCACCTTTCGTGCGTGGGCATCGCCGTCGCTCCACCCACGTTACTCGTCGTGACCTTGAGCAATTCAGAAAGGAAGTCCTAGGTATTGTTGAAGATCGTTCTCTCTGGTGCGAGGACGGTGGCGGATCTTCAGCAACCGTCAATCCCTCTACGCTCGACGAATTGAACACTGCCTTCGCTTCCGCGAGTATGTCCCTGAACAGCGGCAGTGGTATTCCTAGCAACAACCCTGGTTCGGGCATGTTCTCTAATTACGTCGACAACACCGGTAACTCCGCAAATTTGCCCAACGCTTCTCGTCAGCCGATTTCTCCCGCCATGCCGAGCCCCTCGACTCAGGTCAATGGTGGTGGAATGCCTGGCATGAACGCTGGAATACCTATGAATGCGGGTCATCAAATGGATCTTCATCATCTCTATGAGATGGTGTTGGAGCTGAGTGATGTTTTGAAGAACAACCGCGAGACAACCAAGAGCATTGTATCTACTGCGGAGGAAATCATGGTACGTTGCTCTGGCCGTGAAGGCTACACTGTAGCTCTGCGAATCAGCTCTTTGGGTGTTTCGCTGACAGAGATTGCAGAAACGTGCCTCTTCCGAAGGAACTACTCCCAGCTTGCAGCAGGTCAATGGTGAAATTTCCGGTAGGAACCCAAGCTTGCCAATGTCTCCCGAATATTGAAAGCCACTGACAGTCTCTACATTAGCGGCCCGTATTGCCGAACTTGAACGAGCCCTCGCGAAGGAGAAGCGTCTCGTGGAAATATTGAAGCAGGAGCAGGTTGAGAACACTAAACTGATCGGCGAATATGAAGCAGCTGTTGGGACCATGGTCGAACAGATCCGCAACTACTGTCAGAACAACAACATGAACTACCTGGCACAGAAACGCCACTACAACAATCTGCTCCAGGCTGAGCGCGACGCCCATCTGGAAAGTCGTCTCGACCGCGACCATTGGCATGCTCAGACAATGAAGTGCGCTGAGATGATTCGCACCGCCTACCGCCTTCGCTGCGAAGAGGAAGAATTGCCGATTCGTATTGTCTCTGGACTTCAGAACGAGGTACGCGCGTATCGTAATGCCCTTGGTATGGAGCCAGAGAAACCAGAGGAGGAGTACGGCTGGGAAATTCTCAAGGATGCGCCCCCAAGCGTTGACTAAATGCAATGGTCGTCCGCGTTGCGCGAGTACGCGCTTGGGATTCACGAGTTATGACAGTCCTCTTTTGCTTGCTTGATGGATAAGGCGTTCTTGGGAGCAAACCTTGGGTGGCTGCAAAATTTCCTGGTGAAGATACCCATCTCTGCAATGCTTATCACTACGGTTTCTTCCTTTGTTCAATCTCATCTTTGCCGGCGAGGGTCACTCAGTGTCTGGATTTCTGAGAATCTGGAGAATCCTGGTTGATGTCCATGATTTTGGAAACCATCTTGACTATTGAGCAGCCTAGTGCGATAGCCCGCTTGCTTAATTTAATTCATTTTGCTATCTGCTGCTAGCAGCAGTAATTGCATTATCTTGTACCATTTTTCAATGACCCTGAGTTGAATCGTTAAGTTCATTCGGTGTAGAAGACTTCGTCCAGGACCTTCCACCACCCAGGACCCTCTGCACTGCCCACAGCGGCAGGAATGGGACTCTCCTGTAAGTGAGGAACACATATCAGCATCGACCCATTCTCTAGGTTCGTAACTTCAGTCAGCATACCTGCATCCCATCAGTCATCGCCCACCACTCGCGCACCTTCGGATTCGCCCTCATCTTCTCCATATCGGCCTCATAGTCGTCACCGACATACTTGAACGTCGCGAATAACGTGCGCTCATTGTCGAAGAATATCGAGTCTACATAAAATCAATTGATACATGCTAAGCCCGATCACCTTGGATCTCTGCGTGCGGAAAATCCCTACTCACAGTCTCTGATATTGCAATCCTTGATCTGCTGCAGGACCTCGGGCCACACGTTCGCGTGGCATTCTTTGTAGGCCTTGATGGCGGAGGGCTTCAGGTAGACGATCTGCGCGATGCGGCGGACTGGTGCCATTTTTCTGCCGGGGAGATGGTGTATGCGATGCTAGCTATCATTGGGAAGGATAAAGAAGGAATTTGTCGATCTGTTCTGATTGTCGTGCCCCTCTTTGGGGATATGGGGTAGGACTCCGCTCGGGGTGCTTTGACCCGAGATTAGATTATGTGGAGATATACTCCGTACAATAGCGAGACCTTATGGTGATTAATGAGGATTGATAGGGTTTACTGTAGGTGTGAGGATCTTTTGAATGTAGAACGTGCATGTTTGAGGATCATTGAATCTTCAAAATGACTATAAATCAACACCAGGTGATTTGTATAAAATTCCCACAGCAGAATGCATCCCTAACGCCGATATATGTAACGCTGATCATCTGAGGTATCCCTAAATGCAAGTCGAACGAGAAAATCGAATATGTAGGAGGTTCTATCGTAACAGTCGGTATTGTGGGCTTATTGCCGCATCATCTGGGATTTCGGTACTGGTCGAATCCACGAAACGGCCAGGTTGGCCGCGATGGAGATCACGCCAATGATCCAGAGGGACCGACTGTAGTGCGTCCCATTGTATCGGAAGATGATAGCAAAGATAATACCGCCAAAGTTCCCCATGCCACCCACAGCACCGGAGACGACGCCTGCAGAGACAGATCGTTAGCGAGTGACACTTCAGGGAGAGGACGGAAGAAAGGTGTCTTACCATTAGCGAAGGGGTGAACATGAGGTACGACGGCAAAGTTGGCGCCATTGCATGCTTCCAGGAAGAATGCCAGTCCGGCGATGAGACCAAACATGGTTGCTTCGGATCTGGGGT